TCTTTAATCCATTTTTATCTTACTTTTGTACTGGGTGTTAGGGACAGATCTGAGCCCACTTTTTTGTACATAGCTGTCCAGTTTTGCCAACACAATTTGTTAAAGAGGCTTTCCTTGCTCCACTTCACGTTTCTTGCCCCCTTGTCGAAGATTATATGATCATATGCTTGGGAGATGCTTATGCTTTTTACATATAAAGTTGCCCCACTTCTATCACTACCATGTGATACTTAATGTCCTTCTTCACTGTCCTTGTGAATCTTCTATCACAAGTCAAAACTCCAGATTCTTTTCTGTTTGGTAAGCACAGGTCTGTTTTCAATATCTGTTGGTCTTTATGGTCATTTGTTAATTCCCTTTCTTATAGCCTTGATCACGCCATCCAACTGGAGCTTTTCTCAATTTTTCCTATGCAGAACCGTATACTGTTCAGATTGTATCTTAATTATATTCACTATTTATCTCTGACTTTTATTCAACATTTCTTGTCTGTCAGGCTGCAGACAAGATAATGTCTGTTTCCACCATAGTATATTTATGATGTTCAAGTATTTCATGTAATATACTTATACTAAGATGTTGTTTATCTGAAATCCTACATTAACCGGACATACTGTACTTCTACTGCTACCTCTGGCAACTTTTATCAACTATACAACTTTTAATTCAATCAGTTATATAGCTAGGTGGCCTCCTAATATTTTAGACAAATTATCAGTTTTTAGTATAAATACATAATTTACACAATTTATACAGAAAGTATAGTGTTCATTTGATAAGTTGATATTATTCCCATAAAGACATGAAAGTGACAATATACATACATGTATATTAACCCAAATTGACTAAATCCTTGTCTTGGAAAATAATTATGTTAAATAGTAGAAACTAACTTTAATACTCTTTTTTTTTTTTTTGCTTATTACTTGGTTTTGGGTCACACATGGCTGTGCTCAGGGCTTACTCCTGGTTCTGTGTTCAGAGATAAGTAACCTCCTAACAGGCTCCAGGTGCCAGGGATTAAATCCAAGTTTTCTGCTTGCAAGTCAATTGCCTTTATTGCTGTACTATCACTCCAGCCCCCTAACTTCAATATTCTTGCAAATTTTCAGGTACACTGTTAAATTTAAGTGCTGTTGAGCCAATATACAAGCACTTAGGAGTCTTTCTGAAACTTCACTATCACTTTTAAATTTTTAAAAATTTTTTAAGTTGTAATTTAGGTATCATGGTTACAATATAGCCAGTGTTTGTATTAATCCCCTCTTATTCCCATCAATAAAAGCAGTAGACAAATTTTAAGACTCAAACTTCACTTGAATTTTAACCAAAATAAGCAAGTGGAAGCAATCTAGTTTCTTTGAATGATGCAATACTAATTAGAAAGGACATCTTCCCAAAATACTGCTTAGGCATTTCCTGTCACCAGAACTTTGGCTGTGTAACAAGGACAGGATAGGATCAACTGCCCCAAAGGAATTATTTTTTAGACAACCATAAGGAAAGAGATTGCTCCCTGGTGGTTTGGCCACCTGCCATGTTAGCCTTGTAGAAAAATGCACTGTTATTTGTGTTCTTATTTTTTTCTTCCAGCTTTTAAATGACTTGTAGAAAGAATTTAATTTGGACTATCTTATGAAAGTTATATGTGATAAGAACCCATGAGGAAGTACCAACCAATTATAAAATATGTGCAGAAATAAATGGTTAAAGTCAAGGTTTTTTAAATTATCATTCTTCAGTTTTATAGTTTTATAGCTAATTCTGTTTCTCTATTATGGTATAATTAGTTGTGAAAGTGTATAAGTGATAAAAGTATTGCTATTCTCTGAAAAATTAAGTAAATGACACAGACATTTTCATTTGTTTAAAACAAATAATATAAAAATTTTTTAGAAGCTTCAAAATTGATAAAAATTCTTAGAACTATGTTAAGTAACAAACCAACAATCCTGAAGCTTCCCTAGAGAACTAAAAACAAATTAAAGGATATGTGTGCTGTCAGGCATGAGAAATCATTGTGTTTTTTGTTAAATAGTCCCATAGTGACCTTCTTGAGGGTTTTCCTATTCCTCCCACATCCCTTAGTAGGTTGAGATCTAGAAAGCTTTCTTAAAGTGTCCTAATTTCTGGAAATAACATGCAAATGGAGTTAGAAAATGTTGCAATTTATTTGTAATGTGATGAGATAGATGGATGGGTATTTAAAGGTGGTTTTTGTCCAAAGGCTTACATGTTCTTTGCCTTCACCTAAATCTAAGCACTGAAAATCACTTGCAACTTACTACTATATTTTCCTTCAGTCTGGGAACCCCATTTTCACTCAGTCCATTTTGAGACATAATGCAGGTCACATATTCTGGCCCATTTTGATTCAGTTTTTCTCCTACTTAATGTAAAGCAAATCGTAAATGGTATATCACATTGCTGCAGAAAGTCTGAGTCATATAACCGAGCTTGGAGATACACATGTGGACCAGGAGAGAAATCTCCAAGTTTCATAACAGTGAAATATATTATGGCATCATATACAGTGACCCCAGAGCGCTTAAATCTGATTTTGTACTCATACTTTCCTTCTAAGGGAGTAGCCTACCAAGGAAAACAGGTGGAGTGACCATGCATCAATAGGAAACAAATTACTACTCTGTCATTAGCATGAGCGACAACAAATTACCTCTCTCTGAAGCAACTGTCTGGTAAAATATTGAAAGAATGAATTAGGGCTCAGATGCCTAACCGAATTCCTTCTTTTCCTTTTGAGTATGAGATATCTGGTTTGGACTAAGAAGTTGAATTATAATATCAAAGTACCTATCATGTCTGCTTCAAACAAGCATTACTAGCAAAATTCTTGAGGTATGGATGCAGAAAGTGGTGTGTTTCATGGCTACTTTTTTTACCACTGGTAATAGGTTATCTTTTACAAATAGTGAAATCCTAGCCTATTCGAGTTCTGAGTGCTGTCGGGAATTCTCCAATCCCTGCAGGTGTTGAAATAAGCAGCTTGCAGAGGCTGTCATGAGGGTAGGAGAGCTAGATGTTTTAGTTCCTAATCATCAGATTTATTTATATATTCAACTTTAGTAGGTTTTGGTTTTGATTTTCAATGATACATAATGTGTCCTGCAGTGATTTTCTTTTGTCAGAATAATCCTGTGAGAATAAAGTTGAAGTAGAAGTCTCTATATTAAGCTCAATTTTTCTTGAATATGCTAGTTGCATTGAAGAGAGTAAACTGAGGGCTTTTTGTTCAATCCTAAAAGAAAGCATTGTTCACCAAGTGCACTTACATTGGTCAAAAAAAAATAATAATGAAGTAATGACTCTGTCTACAAGAAGGTTTTTGTGTCCTCTGTAACACATGAAAAAGTACCACATGACCAGACAGATTCAGATGGTTCAGAAGTCAGGAGAAAGAGATTTAGTCTGCTTAGTGAAGTGAGAAATGTTTAACAGAGAAGGTGATACCTGAATGGAGCTTTTACTCATCATCTGAAACTTGGGTAAAGAGAGTCTGCCAGGTAGAAGGGCATTCCAAACAAAGCCAACAGCACTTGTAGAGGCCTGGCACTGTGAGGCCATGGTATGTTTGGAGAATAATGAGGGAAGAGGGGAAAAGATAGGAAAATAAAACTGGAGAGAAGACTGATGAACGCATTATTATTTCTGGTTTAACTCATAGTCATTTGACATTGCGACCTTTATTGTAAGCATAAAGGACTGCTAAAATCAGAGGAACAGCATAGTGACTGGTAGCTGTTAATGATAAAAGTGAGCAGTATTTGATAACGTAGAGAGTCAAGACACTTAGGACCTGTTTTGAACAAGAGATAAGGAGAGCAGATAAACCTAAGGATTAGATTTCAGAGAATGTTAACAAGTCATTGTTACTAAGGAAAAATGCTCCTTTTAGGCTGTCAGAGGAAATACGTAGAACTTGTTATCAAGACTGTCTATAAAAAAAAAGAAAAAAGAAACAAAGTTTCATGCACTTTTAAACAAACAAAAATGGAGAATTTGCATTAATAAATCTCAGATTCCACAAATGCTCTTGTGGAAGTCAGTTTTCTTCCCCATTTAGATCTCCCACAGGTATTGAATATTCTAGTTGTTTGGTGGAGGTAGAGGCTAAAGTGTAGACAAAATACTTTTCTCATTCAAAAGATTTTTTTTTGCATTTTTCTAAACAAGTCACCCGGAGAAATGGGGTAAAGTTCCCATAGAATCAACCAAATCCATTTAGGAAGTGATAAACCAACTAAAAATTATGGGAAGATGTTGTCCCAGCCACAAAATGAATGGTTGTTTTGTTTTAGCTGCATCCAGCAATGCTTAGGACTTACTCCTGCCTCTGTGCTCAGGGATCATTCCTTGGAAGGAAAAAGAAGATATGATGTGGAAAATACTTTCAAAAGACAAAGGGAAATATTCTTATATGATCTCATCAAATACTGATTTAGAAAACTAATTTTATATTTAGATTCAAGAAATTACTATGTACACCAGTTTTATCACTTATTAGAAATGTGGTTGTGGGGCTGGAGCAATAGCACAGCGGGTAGGGAGTTTGCCTTGCACGCGGCTGACCCGGGTTCTATTCCCAGCATCCCATATGGTCCCCTGAGCATTGCCAGGGGTGATTCCTGCATGCAGAGCCAGGAGTAACACCTGTGCATCGCCAGGTGTGACTCAAAATGCAAAAAAAAAAAAAAAGTGATCGTAAATTTTTTCACTTTAAAAAATAGAATTTTTATAAAAACCAAATATAAAAGGAATTTATATTCGATATGCACAGATAAAAATGTTTAAAACTTTTCTCTTCCAGTCTTTATGCTGCTGTTTACCTCTCCCTCACATCACATCACCATAATTCTAGTTAATTTCATGTTGTAATAAAGGCCTTTTATATTACAATTTAAAGTTTTCATCCTGTTAGCAATAACGAAATTTGATGTGATTAAAGTTCTTACACATTCTTTTCTATGTGAACATTTTAGGTGTATCAATATATGCATGAAACAATAACTGTCAGTGGCTGTCCCGAATTCCGTGCCAGGGCCACAGCAAAGGTAAGTCTTGAATAACTTAAAAAATAGACTCTACCCCAGTGATTTAGTAATTGATTGTGCGCGTGTGTGTTTCAGGTATTCTCGTGTGTACACTCTAAGAGAATTTAGACATCAGTGGCAGCCCAGAGTCTAGAACCAGTACTACTTCCCAGGTAAAAATCCTAATGGAAAATTGAACGTTTCTGCTGCTTCTGTAGCTTAAGAAAGGAGAATGATTTCATTAAACTCACTAAATGTCCATTTGGCACAAGCAAATCTACTGGTTCATTGTATGAAATTTTACATGGTTTTCTAATACATTCCTCTGAACCAAACTCCTCTGCTCCCTATTCAGTGCATGAATATTTATTTGCACAACTCTAAAGATCTGACTGGAGATAGACTTAAAAAGAACTCGGCTGAAACCCACTGATATAGGGGCCCTTCATATAGTCAGCAGAGCAGTGGGTAGCTTGCTGCAAGAATATGAAGTAGACCCAAAGGACCTGTCACTTTTTGTGATAGTGCTTCTTAGAAACTCAAATTGAGAGATTGCAGAGACCCTACTAATGGAAATGCTGCAGCAATAGGATCATGAAATCATCTGGAAAATAGGCCATTGGGAAACAATAGTCTTAAACTAAACTTGCTGACACAGTTCTTATTTTACAAATACAGAAATGTTCTTCTAGATATACAACTTGCTTTTTAAAAGCTTTCTCTGTCCAATGATATATAAGAACTGGTGAAAATAATCCAAGCTTTTCATTTGATTCTTCTGTGTTGCATCACCTCTTGTTTGGGTTCTCTTCTGACTTTTTAGTTTTCATCCTGTAACTGAACACTGTAGATTTGTTCATTGTTTTTTCTTTCTTTTTATTTTTTTAAACATGGGCCAAAAAAGAGGGTATTTTTACCATTACATCATGCTTTGCTTGTACTGAAGTGGAACACACAGAAAAATGATCCCTGTATGGTTTAATTAAGGGGAAAGTGAATTATATAGTATTTTACCATTCTCATTTCTTATTCATGTAGAACAGCAGGATAGCAGCATAATGTTGCAATAGCACAATATTTTCTGGTTGTTTCTGGGCTGTCTGCATTGCATCCATGTCAGCCATTAAATATATGCATGACAATGAGGTTTGCATGAGCAAATGCATGGATCTAAAATCAAGCCATTATTTCCATATCATTCACTATTTTTCACTAAATGCAGACAGTAGCATAATGCTAAATTGATGTGATAATGTGGTGTGTGGAACAGAATGTACAGTACTTGGGAATCAATATTTTCACAGTGTTGACTAAATTACTTTATAGTAGACATCTAATCAGCTGTGGTTAAAGCAGGTTAATGGAAATGGAAAAGAAAAGGCAGGCAGAGAATCACTTCTTGATAGAAATGACTTAAATGCTGTAATTTTATTTCTTGGGAGTGGGAACTAATGGTAAGTTTTTTACTTCAACTAATATTTTTACGTATAAGAATTTTAAAATAAAGTTAAGTTTGCATTAACTGCTAGGTTAAAATTATAAACTTCTTATGTTGCCTATGTTGTGATAGTAGTTGAATTAGTAACATAAAATACAGGATGGGAAAAACTGTACTGGAAAAAAAGGTCTCATAATAATATAGAATATCATTATGTAGAGCTGGAGCGATAGCAGAGAGGGTAGGGCGTTTGCCTTGCGCACGGCTGACCCGGGTTCAATTCCTCCGCCTCTCTAGGAGAGCCCAGCAAGCTACCGAGAGTTGTCTAGCCTGTACAGCAGAGCCTGGCAAGCTACCCGTGACACATTCGATATGCCAAAAACAGTAACCTCAAGTCTCACAATTTGTTGTGAGACATTACTGGTGCCCACTTGAGCAAATCGATGAACAATGCAAGAACAGTGCTACAGTGCAGTGCTATCATTATGTGAAATTTTATACTTGAGATGAAATAGCAAAAATATGTTTAAATCTTTTATTTATTTTAGCTTTTATTTTCTTTTCGATATATTCAAGTTTTTAAAATGTGAATTAAGCTACTGAGCCAGTGGTCTGGCAATATAAAAATTATAGATGTAGCTCATATATATGTATGATAGATAGATAGGCATCATACATATAAATGCTCTTCATATAAATATTTTTGAACACTTGTATACAAGTATTAGCCTATTTATCAAGCAGAGGAGTAAAAGTCATGCTTTCAGCCCTTAAAGTGTCCGTAAGTGACATATATACATAGTTATCACAGAATATGTGTGATATATATGTGCCAAAGCTAACGGGAGTTCGAAGTTAGAAATTAAGTTATTTAGCCAAGATAAATAGGAAGTGTGTGAGTGTGTGTGTGTGTGTATGTGTGTGTGTGTGCGTGCGTGTTTTAGTGGTGAGGATCCCATACTCATTGGTGCTCTGGGTTTACTCTCGGTTGAATCTGTGCTCAGGGCTCACTTCTGCAGTGCTCAGGGTTCCAGATATGTTGCTGGAGATTGATCTGAGGTTGGCCACAAAGCAAGGCAAGTAACCTACCCACTCCTCCATATCACAGATCCCTATTGGGGAAGGTTTTTATGAAGAATGTGTAGTTTATCATATAGGAATTGCTCGAGGCAGCTGAAAATAGCTGAGCTGAGCTTTGTTCAAGAAATACACCATAAATGGCATCCATAGCCCTCTGCCTTTTGTGTTCTTTCTTTCACAGGAAAGTGTAATAAAATTTTGAGGAGTTGCCTGCTGTGCCCACTGCAGAGCATCTGAGTAGCCTTATTTCCTATGAATTATTACCAAATGACCGTCTTTTCTTTCAGGCAACAGTTGCAGCTTTTGCAGCTAGTGAAGGCCACTCCCACCCTCGGGTAGTTGAGCTGCCAAAGACTGATGAAGGCCTTGGTTTTAACGTGATGGGAGGAAAGGAGCAAAATTCCCCCATTTATATCTCGCGCATCATTCCTGGAGGGGTGGCTGAAAGACATGGAGGCCTCAAAAGAGGAGACCAGCTGCTCTCAGTGAATGGAGTGGTATGTTCCTAAAATAACCGGACATTTTCTCCCTAAGAACATTTTGTGCCTTAAAGGAATCATCAATGTGGAAATTCTAGAACAAATCACCATTTTTGTGTACAACTTCCTAAGTACTTTTTACATACTGATAGATATTAAAATTATAATAGCAGTAACATGGATAGTTTTTTTTTCTCATTTAATCATGTTCAGGTCTGATGAATAGTTGAATAGTTGATGAGTAGTTGAAAAGCCATTACAATAATCTAGTGTAATTTTACAATTCCCCCTAGAGTATACTCTAACTTGGGCCAGGGATATAGCTGTATTGTAGAATACTTTCCTTGTATGTGTGAGGCTTGAGTTTCATTGTGGCACACTACAAAAGTAATCTGACTAAACTAATGGTCAGAACATAATGATTTTAAGACACCATTAATTCAAAGTTACTACAAGTAAATATATACATTTAGAAAAAGAAAAAACCCTCAATATATATATGTATAGGTTAAGTCTTTGAAGCATCTCAAATATCATTAAAATATATTAACTATCCCCAAAATCTTAACTATGTCTATTCATTATATATATTTTTCAGTTCTCACATAAATTTAGTTAAAATTTATAACATTCTATAGAAGTACAAATATGTATTTTTGCGTTATTTTAAATTCCTTGGATGGACTTGCAGTATGAAAGCAAGTCACTAAAGAAACATCTTTGTGTAAAATGAGTAATTGTCTCAACATAACTTCTCCTTATATCATATATGAAAACCCTAAGAGTATAAATTTCAAAAGTAAATTTACTTATTATATCATATCAACATTCATCTTTTGGTTAGTCTAAGATCCTTTTCCTTAGAACTTTTGATTTTTAATAAATAAGCAGTATTTTGTGGCCATATTAATTTCTACTTTAGAACACATTGTCCTGGATAAAATATCTCCAGAAGGTGATATTTTATTAACAGCAATGTATAAAACTCTTTTATGCTTATATTTTGTATTTTGATAATTTCTTCATTTAGCTATTATATTCAAATTTGATATCTGGTATGTATGCATCTATGAATATTTTATGTTGTGTCTTTCTGGGCTGGAGCGATAGCACGGGGGTAGGGCGTTTGCCTTGCACGCAGCCAACATGGCCAACTCTGGTTCGATTCCTCCGTCCCTCTCGGAGAGCCCGGCAAGCTACTGAGAGTATCTTGCCCTCATGGCAAAGCCTGGCAAGCTACCCGTGATATAATCAATCTGCCAAACACAGTAACAAGTCTCAGGATGGAGACATTACTGGGCCCGCTGGAGCAAATCGATGAGCAACAGGACCGTGACAGTGTATTTTCTACTTATAAAATTACAATATCCTCTAGTTATTTTCTACATGAGTAACACCTTGAAATACAAGATTTTTTTGAGTCTCACTTGGATATTGCCAGTTTTTTTTTTATAGAGAAATACTTTCTTTTTTTTTTTTTTTTACAGTTGTAGATTTACAATTTTTTTTGTGCTTGGGTTTCAATTATACAATGATCAGATACCCATCCCTCCACCAGTGCCCGTTTTTCACCACCATGGATAATATCCCTCCCACCCCCATCCCCCCATCCCCCCCGCCTCTGTGCAGGGCAATCCCCTGTGTTCTCTCTCTCCGTTTGGGTGTTGTGGTCTGCAAAAGAGGCATTGAGTGGCAAACATGTTCAGTCCATAGTCTACTTTCGACATGCATCTCCCCTCCTGGGAGGATCCTCCAAACATCCTTTATTTGGTGCTCCCTTCTCTATCTGAACTGCCCTTTCCTCTAGGATACCCGGCTGGCCTCTAAGTTATGGGGTAATCCTCCTGGTGCTGATCTCAGCTATTCTTGGGTATTAATCTCATACTTTGTTACTTTATATCCCCCAGATGAATGCAATCATTCTATGTCTATCCCTCTCTTTCTGACTCATTTCGCTTAGCATGATACTTTCCATATTGTACCACTTGTATGTAAATTTCATGACTTCATCTTTTCTAACAGCTACATAGTACTCCATTGTGTAGATGTACCAAAGTTTCTTTAACCAGTCATCTGTTCTTGGGCATTCAGGTTTCTTCCAGTTTCTGGCTATTGTAAAGAGTGCTGCAATGAACAAACAAGTGCAGATGTCACTTCGACTATACATTTTTGCCTCTCTGGGATATATTCCCAGGAGTGGTATTGCTAGGTCAAATGGGAGCTCAATTTCTAATTTTTTGAGAATCGTCCATACTGTTGTCCAGAAGGGCTGAACCAGTGGACATTCCCACCAACAGTGAAGGAGTGTCCCTTTCTCGCCACATCCACGCCAGCATTGGTTGCTTTTGTTCTTTTGAATGTGGGCCAGTCTCTGAGGTTTGAGATGGTATCTCATTGTGGTTTTGATCTGCATCTCCCTGATGATTAATGATGTAGAGCATTTTCTCATGTGCTTTTTTGCCATTCGGATTTCTTCTTTGAGAAAGTTTCTGTTCATTTCATTGCCCCATTTTTGGATGGGGTTGGATGTTTTCTTCTTGTGGAGTTTAACCAGTATTTTGTAGGATATTGCCAGTTTTAATCCTGGCACAGTGTTCAGAGATCACTCCTGTGGGGCTCAAGGTGCTGAGGAGAGAAACTGCATTAGCCGCATGCAAGGCAAACACCCCACCATCTGTACCTTCTCTCTGAAATCCTGAGATAAAGGCTTTTTATTAGCCCTTGGATGACTCTAGCTTTTACAAAGCATATTTTAACTGACTTCCGATTAGGACATGCAATTATGTTCCTTCCTTATTTTTTATTAATATATTTGGTGGATTAAAAGAAACAGAGATTTTAAAATTTTAATAGGAGAAAAAAGTCTCATTATAGTTCTAGTAACCATAATTATTTGAATCAAAAATAAATATATATTAAATCTATTTAATATATATATTAATTCTAATATATATATTAAATCTAATATAATCTAATCTGGTTGATTTCTATATATGAAGGAGCTAAAGGGACTTTGTTTAGCCTACAACATATTTGAAGGGACAAAGCATATAGGCATTTTTAGCTATACCGCCATTCCTTGAAACCATTAGGTCCCAACGGATACTGGAACAACAAAATCAGATCCATAAGGCTCTGTTGCAACAGAGTATCTACATGATAATGGACCAAGATTGTTAAAACCTACATTCTCACCTCTTAAAGGGTCTAGAAGCACTCTAGCACTATCCTCCCATTGTTCATCGATTTGCTCGAGTGGGCACCTCACATCTCCATTGTGAGACTTGTTGTTACTGGTTTTGGCATATCAAATATACCACGGGGAGCTTGTCAGGCTCTGCCGTGCGGGTGGGATACTCTCGGTAGCTTGCTGGGCTCTCTGAAAGGGATGGAGGAATCGAACCCAGGTTGGCCAGGTGCAAGGCAAATGGCCTACCCACTGGGCTTCTGAAAGCAATATAATGAAACAAAATGTCTATTAAGGACTGTCCTTTGTGATGATTTTGTCCCACACACTTTTGATATGTAAGTTGGCTTACTGAAGGAAGTTACTAAAGGAAGACTCCTATAATATTAATATACTTATCATCAAAGTATATGCTTATAGTCAAAGTCTGTCATAGGCTTAAATTAATATGCTTATAATCAAAGTAAGTCATGAAAAATTCTGTTAAATGTTAAACATATAGACATACCTTAGGAAGCATTAGCAAAACTGCATAAATAGATCTATGCAAATATAAGTTTGATGAAATCCTAATTCTTCAACCATTTATATGTTTGACTCATTACCTTGGAAAACAAGTTTCTTTGAGATAGATGTAATAGCATTCTAGGAACAGAATTTTTGTTACCTTTGTCTTCAGTATCAAACATTTGGAAATCCCATTAAACTGACAGTTGGGAATAGGACAGTTTGTGTTCAAGTCACCAGCCCTGTGGCACAGGCTATGACCTCCTTAACATTCCTTTACGCTGTTCATGAAAAGGTGGGAGATGTCGCCAAAGAACTGCAATATCCCACATCTATTTAAGACTGCAAATTTTAACAATCAACCTATCTTTTTATGCTAGTTAATGTCACTAGATTTGTCAATGAAAATCTACCTTTGTCACTCTTTTGATAACAAGAAAATCTGTTTGTACACTGAAATAGATAAAATATATGTATTTGTAATATCCAAATTTTAGGACCATATTTTTCAGTATCTTTTCCTGAGCTCTGCTCCCTCTGCCCTCCTCTTCTGCATCGACAGCCTGTCTGTTGACCTCCTAGTCTCCTGATGTAGCCTCCCACTTACATAATTTTCACCTGTGTCCCCTTGGAATGAATGTCCTGGAATCTCACAAGGGCCCTATGGCCCCAAATGAGAAGCACTGCCCTAGAATTTTGCTTTTCTGATATAATTCCAGCTGGCCACCCTGGACTGGTTTAAGCTCTTAAAGCTGACATTGAAAACATTGTACATCCATATAGTCAAATGAGATTTTATAAATCACTTATTTTGAAGTTCTTAAAAATCTAATTGTATATATTTTAGCAGTAAATTCTTGTGGCTATGAGATATATTTTAACATTCAGTAAAAGATTTATTTTCATCCTTTAAGTTAAAATCCCATGACCATATCTCCCAGAATTAGCAAAAACGAGTTCATCTAAGGCACAATCTCTGAATTTGGAAGTATTTATTCGGTATATATTATGTCAGTATATATTTAAGAGGAAAGTTCAGCAAAATATTATAAAGCGATTTCTATTTACAGTTTAAAATAAATAAATAGCATTTGGTATCTCCTGCACTGCAATAAATAGCGTTAATTGGGGAAAAGAAATATGGAGATTTTTAGAATATGCCAATCTAAACAAAACAAATCTTGGAAAGAAGTAGTAACTTATGGATAAAAAGTGATTTGAAGTAGTCAACCAAACTACTTCAGTACAAAGATTCTGGAAAAAGTTCTTAGGGTCCTACTTGATCACTTGATCTCCCGTTATTCATCAAATTACTCGAGCAGGT